TACAACCAGAAGATACAATCTCTGCCCTTAACGATTGAATTTGATTTATTAAAATGTGCAGTCCAGTAGTCCAGTTGTAACATTGGCTACTTCTGGATCACCTGAGAGCAGTGACGGTGCAGTACTTTGTTCTACCTACACTTGTAAAGATTTTAAGTTTTTATTTTTCTTACCTGCACTCCTAGTAAGGGACCAATACCACATTATGCTAGCTGCTGTAAAAACACAGAGTAAAAGGATGCTCTCTGCCAAGAAGAGCACTTTTTCCACAACATTCAGGCATTTTACCTTTCAACAATACTTAAGTAATACTAACCTGAGAAGATCACACTTCAATTAATAGAAAAACATAGATGTTTGCTAACTTATCATCAATTCAGGCCTTGGGAATATTTAATGTGTTCCATAAACTTTTGATCTTCCACACACTTTGAATAAATTCCAGGTATCTGTCTTTTTCATGGAATCTGATATGGTTTTACATTTGTATACCTTGAGGATTTATCCCTTTCCCTAGTGCTCTGTCTTGATAAATAAAATCAGTAGAAACATTTGAATTAATGAACTCCAGTTAGAGCTGGTCAAAGATTTCTCCAACAGTATGCACTTATACTATCCAATACCAATTAAAAAAAAACCCAAATCTTTCAATTATACGTCAATTTCAAGAAAATTGAAAACATCTATTAAACATCTATTAAAAACATCTGTCAGGTGAAAATTGACCATTTCAATTGTTTGCTGTAAAAAATGACTTTTCATTCCAAAATTTACTTGTATCTATATAATTATCTTATAGTAATAATACAATAAAAATCATAATTTAAAATGATTAAATTATTTTGCAAAATGCCAGAATTTCCTGGAAAGGAGAAAACAAACAACTGTATGCTAAACTTGAAGTCTGAAGCCTAGCAGCACAAAGCTCTCACTGGAGATCTTTTGGGACTGGAATTTACTTCCTTACCCCAAACAAACTAGAGTGTGTTAACTTTCAGGTTATATTTGAAAGCCTTTTTACTCATTAAGGTTTTTTATTTTCTGGAAGGAAAAAATGGAGTGAAAGAGTCTAACAAGCACAAGCAAGTCTCAATGTACTGTATGTATTCTAATATAAGATGAACCTGAATATAAGACAACCCGCCGCCCCAATAATTAAGTTATATAAATGGAAAATTTATAAATTCATTATAATTTTCCAGGCATAGAATCTAAGAATTGAAGGGTTGTCTTGAATCCCCACCCCATCAGCTCCAGGAGGAAAAGCAGTGGCTGGAGGGGGTGGAGGTCAGGTGGTTCCCTTGCCCTCTGCCCCACCCACTTCTTTCCCCTTCAATCTTCCTGCCCCCCCCCAGCCACCTTGAATCCCCATCCCAGCTCTCCCCAGCCTCTGCACCTCCCCCTCCTTCCTCCCACTCTGCCTCTTCCCCCCCTCAACTTCCCAACCTCTGTCTCTTTTCCCCAAACAACCCTCAGTCCCTGCCTCTTACATCCCTGCTCCCTGTATTTTTGGTTTCTTCCCCTCAACATCCCTCTTTCCCCCACTTACTGTCAGATGCTGCTGGAGCTGAAGCAAGGCCCATGGAAAGCAGTGTTGCTTTGCCTGGCCATGAAGCAGTGTTGGCAGTATTGATTGGCTGGGCAGGGGAAGGTGTTTGCACGTGCTTCAATCCCAGGAGAGACCCCAGCCCATGCCAGAGCCAGCTGTGTCTGACACTAGGGGGGAAGGGAGAAGCTTAGCAAGGCAGAAGCTGCGTGGGGAGGGCATCAGGAGGCTGCTATTTATGCCAAATTTCTGTTCTGTTATAGATGTAGACCAGTATTTATGCACGTAAACCAGTATACGTGCCATGTCTGTACCTGGCCACTAAGTATAAGATGAGGGGCTCCCACACCCCCCATGCTGATTGTGTGGGGGGGAAACCTCATTTTATATTTAAGTAAATATAGTATCTAACTAATAACAAGAGGTGCTTGTAGACATGCTGGGAGGCTGCTCCAACGTGCTGTAATTACAGCGCATTGGAGCAGGCTCAATTAATCAAGTCTGCTGCAGCATGCTAATTAGCCAGTCTCCACATCTCGTGCATCAGTGTCCCCATGCTTCAAAATGGTGGCAAAGGTGCTTTAAAGTTCATTCAATGAGCTTTAAACTCCCTCCCCTCTCCCCCATTTTAAGGCATGGACACTGATACACAAGACACTGTGGGCACTTTAATTAGAGCAACTCTCAGAGTCGCTCTGATTAAAAGCACCCCTCCCCCAGAGCATGTGTAAAAATGCTCAAAAATAATACCAACAACAACAACATTTAAATGTCAACGTGTATTGTTTATGTATATAGGATTTTATAAAATGGCATTACGCGAACAAGAAAAATTAATAGCTAAATAAGGTTTAAAAATATTTAAAATTACTTTTTAGGAAGTCCTGTATATAAGAAATAGGTTGATGCAAGCTTTCCCTATCCAGTAAAATCAATACTTGAAGTCTGAATCAGAACAACTTTTAAATAAATGTATTCAAACACAGGGAAGATAGCTACTTCACTGCTGAGCAGACAAAACATGTAAAATTATTTTTTTTCTGTTTATACTGTGAGAACCTTCAAGTGTCTAGTTACACTGGCTTCCTAGCTATTTTTTCCTAAGCAAGCAGCTAAATAGAAAAAGGAGACATGGATGTTGCCCTCAGTATTTTATAAATAGCAGTAGTTTTGTAGCCATTCCTTTATGTATAGATCAACAGTACTTGCATAATTGGTAATTTCAGAATTGCCCGAGTGTACCAGAGTTGAATAGCACATTATTTTCTACAGATTCTTTGAATCTGCATATGTAAAATTAAATGGATTTTGTCTCTCGTTTTCATAACACTAAATCTGACTACTCTTTCCCATATTTTATGGATTCAGTTCATGGCACGAGACTCAAAGCAATATAAAAATTTCAATTTCATAGATTGCTTTGGTACACTGATTGCAAGGCTCTGTCGTTAATAATACTTGTTCTAACACACACACTACTACTACTGGAAAAAAACAACTTTAAGTAGTACTATTAGCTTCCTACTTTGTAAAGCTGAATAGTGACTGTAAGTGGTCTCAGTTGTAATGCTGTATGGTAGAACATCACACAGTGGCCAGTACATTAGACCTATAATGGTTGCAAGGGTGGGCTAACAAAAACAGGATGCATTTCAATATGGACAAGTGCAGGGTGCTGCACTTGGGCAGTAGTAACTGGCAGCACACTTATAAGATGGGAAACTCCCTTCTTGAGAGCACGGGGGTAGAAAGGGATCTTGGAGTCATCATTGACTCCAAGATGAACATGGGCCAACAGTGCGAAGTCACGGTTGGCAGGGCTAACCAGACCCTATCGTGCATCCACAGGTGCATCTCAAGTAGGGCCAAGGAGGTGATCCTCCCCCTCTACGCGACACTGGTCAGGCCGCAGCTGGAGTACTGTGTCCAGTTCTGGGCACCCCACTTCAAGAGGGATGTGGACAACATTGAGAGGGTCCAGAGGAGGGCCACCC